TGTGTGGAGGCTGAATCAATCCGTAACCCCTGGCTACTCCCCCTCCTCTTCCCTCGCTCCTTACTTCGCTCGTTCCGAAAACTGCCCTGCTGCTCTTTGCAGAGTCCAGCCCAAGTTTACACTTTGTTTTAATCCTCTCTCTTTGTTTCTTTCTGAATCGCCTCCCCGATAAGCTAACTAGCTCTGCTTCTATTAACATTTAACTAGCTAGCAACCTTAACTAGACGCTAACACCTTGTCTTTAGACCACTTTGTTAACCTTTTTCTTTAACTAGAATCTGAGCCTAACTAGATCCTTTAACCGGCTTTAACCATTATAACATTTCCCCTTTTCCCACCCAACTTAACGATAACTAATAATAATAACCAGTTTTACCCTTATCCTGAAAACAATGCATTGAATGCTGGACAGGGAAGGAAAGAGGTATATGAACGAAAAGGATACCTAAAAAATACTGATGGATTGCATTGTAGCCCTTTGCCGGTGTCCTTTGGGGAGCCATACAAGTGGGGTATGTCAAGTGAGATTTGAAAAACACTTAGAGGTGTTGCAGAAATTCTGCAAAGGACTTGAGAAACCTACATTGCCTTGAGCAGACATGTTGCCTCTTGCCTTGTTTTTAGGATTGGGGTAAAACCATACAGATTTCTATAACATACAGTTCTTGGATAAGATATGCAGCAATTCTTGAATGCCAGTGGGGGAAAGGATCCCGCCTCCTTTTAACAAGGAAGATGGTTTCCAGCCTATTTCAGTGCAACCACACGGATGAGGTGTTCCTTTCAAAGGGCTCAGGGTGGAGCAGACAATGTGGGGTTTAAACTCAGCTATGGCTTGACACCACACCTGGATCAAAAGACCAGAGAAATGGGGAAAGGTGGAGGGGCAACTTCCTTCTCCTTCCACTGAAAATGTCTGTCTGCCCCTGCTTTCCCCTGGGAAGATCTAGATCAGGGGTCCCCATCCTGGTGCCTGTGGGACCCACCTACACCTCTCCCGGTGCCCGCCAAGTGTTTTTAGAAAATAGGCGGAGCTAGATGGGGTTTTTGCACAGCAGGGTTTCTGATTGGCCATTAGGGAACAGCAGTTGCCACTGCAGCACAAAGATCTTCAGTGTACGCAAAGAAATATGTTCAAACAATGCATACATTTTAAGAGGCAGCCTTCTAAGCAGAGCTTCTGCCTGAAATTTTCAAGAGTCACTATTAGAGTTATGCCTGACGTCACTCCTAGATGTTTTGTGGCTGACCCCGCCTCCGGTAGCAGCCATTTTGTTCTCACACCCACCAAACCCTGTCAGAATTCCTGAGGTTCCCAGAAGCCCAAAAAAGTTGGAGGCCTCTGGTCTAGATGTATGTTTATTCTGGCAAATATGTGTCTCGAATCACCCCCCCCCCCAAAAAAAAAAGTATGGGGGGTATAAAAGGGATTCGGAAGGAAAAGATTAAGCCCCACGTTTTCCCCTGGGCATTTTTCTGCTCCAAATCTCCCTCCCTTTTGGTGATAGCTGCCTATTGGATACTAAGGTGGTATCCCAAAACAGCTGAATGGGGGAGACCCTTCACAAGTTTCCGGGGTGACAGAATGATGGGGGACCTGCAGTTCTTTTGCCTGGCGTGTGGGTAGAACTGGAGGAGGCCCTGTGGGTCTTGTATCCAGCCCCCCCCCAATCCTTGATTTAGTCCTTTCACCGCTTGCTATGAAACAGAGGAACACTATAAAGTCAATTTGTCAGGCTAAGCTTAGGGAATTCACCACCATAGGCACATGACCAAAGGCAGCCACTGTTGTTAGGCCAGCTTCCTGATTGGCTGGAATGAATGTTAGCATTACCCAGTCCCAAGCGAAGTTACATTCTCGGGAACCCCTTCTCTCATTCCCGGATCCTCCTCCAGAAAAACAGAGATGGGAAATTGAGGGTTTGCAGCCAAGGAGAATCTTCCTTTTCTTGGGGTTCCTTTCTCCCACTGGCCTGTCCTGACTCTCCCTCTTTCCCCCCCACCTCTTTTTCACTTACCTTTTTCTTTTCTTTTTGGTTTCTTTGCAGAAGGTACTCCGATCCGAGGTAAGAGAACGCTTCGCAAACTCTCACACACTTTTGGACACTCTCCCCCTCCCCCTCCGGTTCCCCACACACACACCAGAATGTCACAGACACATACACACATCGATTATAACCAGTTCTCGTTCTGTGTCATTGTGTGAGTCTCTGATCTGGACTTGCGTGGCTCTTTTTCACTGTCGTGGCTTTCCGTCCTGTTTCGTGTTCCCTTTTCCGTGTTTATTTTCTCCCCCTCCCCCCGACTGTCTTTATTTTCAATATATGTATAATTATTCCTTTTCTCCTTTGGCTGGACGGCGTCAGCTGCAGCGTCTCTCGGGAAGGAGACTGTTCTCTTTCCCACCTGCCAGCGGTTGACGAGGTGGCTTTTAAAAACACAAAGCTCACAGAAACCGCAGAAGACTGAAATCTAGATCTGGTTTCAGGTGTTTGCTTTTTTTGTTTTTTTAAAAGAACGCTTCAAATGCAGTGAAGATGAAGAATAGACTGGACCCAAGCTTGTGGCCTAGAATGGGAAAATTTATGCACTGGTCTTTGTGTTTTCTTGTACAGAAGGAAAACAGTATGGGGAAAGAGGGTACTGCACAACTTTTATTGTCCCCAGGCTATCACACACACAACATACACAACAAACCTTTATTGGCATAACAACAGCATCAGCCTTAGGTACAGAGGTGGTAGGCCTGCAAAACAGTTAATTCACTACCCCTTCTGCCGAAAAAGAACTTCTCCTCCTATACGCTCTGTAAAGGAAGTTTGCCACCTCTTCAATGGTATCAGCCCTGTTTGAGGCTAGAAGGTTCATTATCTTACTTTCCTCAGATTTGCCCTCCAGGGTTTGCAGTATAGGGCCGAGGTGATAAGCGCGCAAATCCTGGTAAAATCTACAAGTCAGAAGTACATGGTCCGTTCCTTCAATCTCCTTTAGCCCACAGGGACATAACCTATCTCAGTTAATCTGGGGTACCTTTTTAATCAAGCAAAATATCTTTCTCCAGTTAACGGGCTAAACTTTGCCGATCTGTGCCCTCAGTGGCAGAATGGCTGCTAGGAGGATTTGGACTTGGACGTCTTGGATGTCCAAACACTTACACACTTCAAAAAAAAATGTAGATGGAGGGGGAAGTGGGACTGTGTGGCTACGTAGGGTTGCTGAGCCAGACGCAAGGGATCACAGGATCCAGTGTAAATAGGTCTTCAGAAGGCAGTCGTCGGAGTGCAAGAAACAAGTCAGAGTCCATATGCTTGCATTATGGATGGGGAAAGGGTTTTTCTTGTTGATGTGCCCATGTTAACTTCAACAGTGTTTTCATCTCTTGGGTTGGAGCCTCTCAACACGCCACTGGCGGAAGGGCAGTTCTCTGAAAGCGAACCGTTTGTTAAAAAGTTGGCCCATATCCTTAACGCACACAACATATGCACTCATCCTCAACATGTCTTAATCGAAATATGGGCAGAGGGCTTTCCTTTTGCCATTGGCCGAGCTTCTGTGATGTCACGTACAACGTCTAGATCAGGGGTGTCAAACATAAGGCCCGAGGGCCAGAACTAACCCATCCAGGGCTCTTATGTGGCCCGCGAGCAACTGTTGCAAGGGAGAGAACAGGGGACTGCTTAGGGAGAGGAGTGGGCGGAGCCACTCAGACTGTGGCTTCGGCATGGCGAAACAGCCTTGTCTGCAGCAGTCAAGTAACATGGGAACGTCCGCCCAGTGCTGCACTGCTGACTCTCCAGTCCACCCATGTGGGTTTTACGCTACACCCCCTCTCAGCCCATGGGACCTTTGCAGTGAGGATACACCAACTCGGAGCTACGAGCTGCTCTCGTTTCTACAGCTTTTATCTCCGGTACCTGACATTACGTTTTATGGGACACATGGCCTGACCCGACAAAGTCACATTTATGTCAGATCCGGCCCTTGTAACCTCTGGTCTAGATTTATCCATCAAGCAAACCCCCTGCTTTAATTAACTGTGGTTAGAGGGATTATCTGAACGTGCTCCAGTTTTCTAACGGTGATTACTTAGGGTAGATCTGAAGCAGTGGTTTGAAATCGGTTAACTGGGCAGTTAGTGCCGACTGTGGCTCCGCGTGACATGTGAATGTGGAGCTCCCGTCTCGATCCCTAATTCCACCCCCACCACCACCACAAAGAAGTCTGGGATTTCTGCCGAAGAAAGAATTACGGAGATGAAACCAGAGTTTGCCGAGTTAAGCCAGGGTCTGAATGATTACCTGGGAGCCGAATCCTGGTTGCACAAACAAGCCACAGTTAAAAGAAAGCATGTGTTTTACGTTCTGTCTGAACCGAGCCTGTTAGCATGTGGGGAAGGGTCAGCTGCAAAATGTGGGACAGTGTGTAACTGCTGTGAGGGAAACCGGGAGGCTTCTGATGTCTGGGGAAAGATTCGGAACAGGGGATGTGGACTCTAAAAGAGGTTGACGGTCAGGGAGCTCTTGCGGGACAGGGGGGAATATCTCACACAAGGCTTAAGAGTTAGAGTGGGGAGCCAAGTCTAATAAATAAGGAGACACCAGGAGGGTGGGAAGGAGGCCTTGGATTTGTCATAGGAATGGGGGGAGGCAGTTATGCGGGAAAGAAAGGGAGTACCCTTATTTACATGGGGGAGGGAACAGGGGCTCTGCTGAAGGCGTCATGGAGATGATGGCTTAATAGGATGATTGCATTTCCTTCAACATGTGGACACTTCCTGTTTGTCGGGATGCCAAATGGAAAAGGCACGTTGCATCATTTTCAGTCTGGGAGATTTGGTTGCTGTAACGGCCTTGTGATACCTACGATTGGGGAAGGGGCGGAATAAACCTTGCCTGCCAAATTAGAATATGTACACGCTTCACTCCCCGTCCTGAATCCCCTCCAATTAATATATCCGCTGGCGTCTCCTTCTCCCTTTTTTGTTTCTCCTCCCGTTCTAGGTGGCCTCCAGATCGAAAGCAGCGAAGAGACCGATCAAGGGAAATACGAATGCGTGGCTAGCAACAGTGCTGGGGTGCGGTACTCTTCACCCGCAAACCTATACGTGAGAGGTAGGGAGCGCCACGGCTCGCAAGAATAGCAATATGACCTTTTCCTGCCCTCCAGCTCACACGCATACACGCACATGTCCTTCGGGGGCCTCCTTATGCCCCTAACCATGTGTCCGTTTT